AGTTGCCGCTTTGTGCTGGTGCCTGGGCTTCACTCGTGCCTTTCCTCCTACCGAGACCGGGCAGCCCCTCAGCCGCCTGGCCGGGGGCTGCGGTGGGGCTCATTTGTGCACCTCGGGATGGGGCGGGGGGCACCGGCTCAGCACAGCAAGGGGCTCGCTTGGCTCGTTAGCAACTGAGCCGGCTGGTGATGCAGCCGGACTGCCGGCTCCAGCTGTGGGACAGGGCAGGTCGCAAAGGTATGGGACAAATGTTTTCGCTACGAGCGGGACTGTGCTAGTTTCTATCCAATTTGAGTAAATCGGTGAGATCTCATCTGCCTCTGCCGTGCAGATCTGCCACCACGGGTGTATTTTGTTGTTGTGGAGGATCAGTCTCATATGTCCCTATTTTTATGTCCCTTATCGAGCTGAGGAGCTGCCCGTAACTCACTTCTCCCCCTTCTCGCCGGCAGGCTGTCCAGGGGACGGGACTGGCATTTATAGTCTATTCTGAAGCGATCAAAAACATGGAGGTGCCCCAGCTGTACTCCGTGCTCTACTTCTTCATGCTGCTGATGCTGGGCATCGGCAGCATGCTGGGAAACACCGCCGCTATCCTCACGCCGCTGACCGACAGCAGGGTCATTGCTGCCCGTTTCCCCAAGGAGGTGATCTCAGGTAAGCACCCGCCGTGAGCAGCGTAGCCCATGCAGGGAGAGAGCACCTGTGTGCAAAATCTTTGGTGTCCCACAGCCGTTGAGGGTCCTTCTTTGACCTCAGGTGGAGCAGAGAATATCAAATATGCTGCCGGAAGGGTTTGGCTGCCCTTGGGCAATTCTGCCCAGCCTGTACAGCACTTTCCCTCGGGAGCTCTCAAAGCACTAGAGCAATCGTGGCTGTGTATTTGCAGGCTTCCCGACACACCCCAGCTCCTTCAGACTGGTGTCTGACCGGTGAAACTCAAAGGGCCAGGAGACATGTCAAGACACCTGCAGTGAGTGGCTCCTCAGTCACACCACTGGTATCCCAACTGCGAACCACCTCGGTCTTTGGCCAAAAGTGATAGGCGCTCCCGTTTGGGCATGGAACCTGTTGTGCCACCTTAAAACCTGTTCTAGCTGGATGCCCAGCAGTAACAGCAGATGCTGTGCAACATGCGACAAGGCTATAGCCAAGATTGGGTTTGTCTTGACCCTGCTGGGACAATGTGCTGTGACTGTGCAGGTCTAAGGAGCAGCAGTTTAAGGATACGCCAGTACAGTCACACACACAGAGCCAGGGTCTTTTCCAAAGGGAAAAAAATTATCTTTTTCCTCCAAAAAAGCTGCTTCCCAACAGAAATCAGTAGAAATCCCTCCAGCTTTTTAGCCACAAGAAGTACGACATTTCCCCCACGCAATTAGATTTCCAGGTGTAACGGCAGGCTCCCTGTTTCATCCACGCAGGTGTTGTGTGTTTCATTAACTGCGTGATTGGCCTAATCTTCACCATGGAGGCTGGAAATTATTGGTTTGACATATTCAACGACTACGCAGCCACCCTCTCGCTGCTGCTCATCGTGCTGGTAGAAACCATTGCTGTGTGTTATATCTACGGGTTAAGAAGGTAAAAGCTTGAACCCTCCTTTCTTCATAGTGGGATAGCAGGGGTGTGACCACTGGCCAAGGCACACAGGGCCAAGAATAAAAAATACCACCCCGGGCTACATTTTTCTCCTACACTATGGTATCAGCAAGGCAATGGGGTCTCCCCGGCTCTGCAGACCCCTTCCAGGGCCTCGGGTTCAGGGCTGCGTGGGGGCCAGGCTGGGCTGACACCTTCTCTGCAGGCAAGGGAGTACTAACGAGCCGCACACGCTGCTCCCTGCTGCTCTTGTCTTTTGGTCTCAAGAGCACCTTCTGCCGAAACTGCTGCTTCTCCTTTCACAGCAATTCAGCGCGAGCACAACAGTGCCAGTAAGCCTGGTTTCAAACCTTGCACATCGCTGGTCTCCCAGGTCATCCCTTGCGGATAAAAGCAAGATTCAGCATCAGGAAAGGTTTTACACAGCGGAGGTGTTTGTGCTCAGGGCATCTAAAGGAAAAAGCGTTAGTATTTGCTTTGTTAGTCCGCTAGC